TCCTGAGCCGGCAGGACGTGGTCATCCTGGACTCCCTCTGGACATCAAGGGCTCCCGCTATGAGCTGTACTGCCTCGCGCCGGCCGCGCGCACCCGGCTCTGCCTGGTTTACTGCTTACGCCCAGTCTGGCCGAGCCCTAGACTTCAGGGGGCTGAGGCCGCGCGCTGCGGAGGGCGAGAAACCTCGGGCGGCCGGCGCCGTGGAGGAACAGCGCCCCGCCAGCCTGTTAGAAAGTGGCGCGGCCCTGCCGGCTGTCCCCAGGGAACTGGATCCGGAGGAAATCCTGCCATCAAGTCCTCCAGCGGGTGTAACTCCGGAACCCCTCCGGAAATCTGCAAAGCCTGCTTCCAGTGCCTTTCCTCCCGAACTTATCGAGTCCTTAGCGCAGCGTTTTGAGGCTCCTGACTCTCGGAACCGCTGGGATCGACCTTTGTTCACCGTGGTGGGCTTTGAAGAGCCATTGCCTCTGGCTGAGATCCGATCTGCATTGTTGGAGAACCGGGCACCCCCACTCCACGGGTTAACTGACTCAATTTCCTGGCCATCGCTGTGCGTGTCACGCCTGCGTGTACAGCATAAGCGAAGGCATAGGCGTAGTAGCTCCAGAAATATCAGGTAGGCAGTTTTTCTTTGGTTGGACTCTGCCTGGGGATATTACATCGGGATGGAGGAGAACTGTTTTAAGTCAACTGTGAGTAGAAGACGAAGATGATACAGTTTTGTAAGGCCCTTTCATACTACAAATATATTTGAGTATAGTACTTTTTGCTATCTATCCTGCATCATTGAACACAGATACGTTTTTGTTCTGAGAAACTGATATTTGTATAAGACAACCATTAGTTATTTCCTCTAATAAAAATTTTCAAAGTTGAAAAAAAATTTTACATTTGGAATTAATTGTTATGATTGTCAATTGTATTGATTTATTAATTCTTCTGTTAAGTTTAATCCTCATAAGCAATCACTTATGATATTACAGCAGTGTACACATATTTGGCTGCCTGCAAACTTGGGTTGTTCTTGGGCTCAAAGTCCTCTAGATCATATTGTTGTAGAATTCTTCAAAAAGATATTGAAAAGAACAAAGCACATGTTAGGTATAGTAATCGCTGTAATTCTTAATCTTGTTGCTGCTGTTGTTACTGTCTGTGGCTGGTATTGCTTTACATATGTCCTTGCAGACAAAACACTTTGCAGAACAATGGCATAAAGATTCTCATGAACTCTGGATACAGCAAGCTCAAACAGATGCTCGACTTCAGACAGAGATTGATGTACTTAAGCAAACTGTGGGATGATTGGGAAAGAAATATTTATCTTTACAAGAACAGATCACCCTATCCTATAGCAATACTGACGAATATCTTTCATATCACCATAGAACCTTCATCTGGTGATGGATGGAGATAGAGACAGAGACCCACACTGGAGCACTGGACTGAGCTCCCAAGGTCCCTATGAGGAGCAGATGGAGGGAGAACACGAGCAAGGATGTCAGGACCACGGGGGGTTCACCCACCCACTGAGACAGTGGGGCTGATCTATTGGGAGCTCACCAAGGCCAGCTGGACTGTGACTGAAAAAGCATGGGATAAAACCGGACTCTCTGATCATGGCGAACAATGAGGACTGANCTGGACAAGGAAGTGGCCTTTGAGCTCAGTTCATCACACTTCACCAGGTATAGTTTAGGGAAGTGCTTTGCTTCTGTATACTTTTGCTTTCATTTCTTTCATTGATTTGGCAAACACGCAAAGATCTACTCTAAGCTCTATTGTGCCCTCCTTATGAATGCCATGGAGGCATTAGCAACGTGCCCCTACCTGTTTCCCTTGTTAGCATCCTTGCTTGGCTTACTAAATTTCCTTTTGCTAGGATCATTTAAGTTGATGGTATTTATAAATCAACAGGTGTATGAAGCAACTAATATGTAAACTATACAGGTCCATTATCATAAATTGGAAACAGCAGACAATGATGTATATGACAATGTTTAGCTGGTAAGCTCATGCACACATGAGGTAACAAGATAATTGTTTTTATTTTATATTTATTTATTTATTAAAGATTTCTGTCCCCCACCGCCGCCTCCCATTTCCCTCCGTCTCCCCCAATCAAGTCTCCCTCCCTCATCAGCCCAAAGAGCAATCAGGGTTCCCTGACCTGTGGGAAGTCCAAGGACCACCCACCTCCATCCAGGTCTAGTAAGGTGAGCATCCAAACTGCCTAGGCTCCCACAAAGCCAATACGTGCAGTAGGATCAAAAACCCATTGCCACTACTACCTATAAAAAGATAATTGTTTTTAAACTTGGTGCGATGGGCCAGATAGCCAGAGATGGGCAATGGGAGGATGTATACCTATATTAAACATGTAAATCACCACCTAAGACAGGAAGAGAACCAAAAGCAGTTGTAAGGACGGGACTACAGGATCCTCCCCCCACCGTGACCTTAGACAGGCACAGCCCCCCCCCCAAGTGACTTTTGGCATTTTAAAATTAATAAAAATAAAATGTGGGCTCTGTGGGAGAGTTACGGCTCCCTGGATCAGTTTCACCACCCTTTTGTGCTTGGATTCTCCTGCTGTTCTGATCTGTCAAATACAAACTCTGCTGGGAGTTATTGTTCCATTGTTCCTGTGGTCTAAACATTCTGACTTTTCTGCATGTTGCAGTTAGGGACTTTCCACCTGACCATTAGACCTAGGTTAGGTTGCCTAGTAAGTTGTTTAGTTACCCATATACACAAGAAGAATTTCCTCCTTTCCCTTACCCTATATGTACCTGGATTATTCCCTTGAATAAATGAGACTTGGTCAGAATCCTATCTTGTCTCGGTCTCTTGTGTCTCTTGTCCCATCCCATTCTCACTCCCCTTCCCTGTCTCTGTTGACTTACTCGCGGGCCAGAGAAATTCCTATATCAAAACCTTGTACTGTTGTCAGAGGATGTTGGGATTAGGGAGCTAGCTATATGAGAGTTCTATGCAAGGCCACTCCATTTCCTTAATGAGTCCAGCGTCGTGGTGGCAGAATTCACTCACCCTCCACTTAGTCTGTCTGTGATCATCAATGCAAGAACCTGGGGCAGCACTGATGCCAAAGGCATGAAGAAGTGCTACTTACTGACTTTCTCCACATGGCTTGTACAGCCCACTTATACAACCCAGGATCGCCAGCCTAGGGATGGCACCGCCCACAATGGGCTGGGCTCTCCCCTATCAATCACAAATTTAAAACTATCCTACAAGATTCCCTACAGCCTAGTCATGTGGAGACAGATTCTTAACTGAGACTCTCTCCTTCCAAATTACTTTAGCTTGTGTTAGCTTGATATAAAACTAGTCAGTACTGGGGGCATGAGGTTGGAAGGCAAGTGCATAGGTCAGGTCATGAAGTACCCTAAGAACTATATGTTGGGAAGCAGGACAATTTGTGTCAAAGAATATATGAATGGCATCAAGAGAAAAGGGTGGAGTGCTGAGGCTAAGAGATGAGAGTGGAGAAACCTGACAAGCTACATTCAGTAACACTTTTTACAGGAGTGAGGAAACTTGTTGGAGAGAGAAAAATAATTGTCCAAGAGCTCTTTCCATTTTGAGGTAGCAAGGTCCCTAAAGCCTGTAGTACCATCCAGGTCAGAAACCACAACTCTGCCTTGCCAGGAGCTTCTTCACATTTGAGTTGCTGGAGGCACTGAGAGTGGAACAGAGACACAGGAGATGAGGCCACAGATTGGAAAAGTGCATCCCAGGCCAAACACACCATGAACATAACAGAGTCCTGAGGAAGTAGACGTTCTCAGATGATGATGGGTGGGTAACCCAGAAAGGGCTGTTCAGCTACCGCAGTCTCATCTCTATTGAGATAATCCTTTATTTCTCCTCTGTTGATAGACTGAAGGTACCTTGTATAAGTGCTGGTCTTCAGTATCTGGAGGCAGTTAAGTGTTAGCCAATTACCAGGATGCCCCCATGACCCTACAACTTAATACAGAGCTCCTTCCAGGACATGAACCCATGGACAGTGACTTTGTCACCTGTTAAAACCTCTGATGAGATCCAGGATCCTGCTTTATTCCTCTCTTAAGCCTCTTTAGAATCCTAATCCTACCAAGGTAGGACTTGCCAGGTAATTCTCTCTGTCATCCCAAATTACCTGCAGAAAAGCCTAAATGTGTTGGCTCAGATTGTCAACTTGAAACAAGCTAGAGCTACTTGAAAGATAGGAACCTCAATTGAGAGAATGCTTTCATAAGATCAAGCTGTAGGTCATTTTCTTAATTAGTGATTGATGGAGTAGAACCCAGCCTATTGGGAGAGGGTCCTGGGTTCTATAAGAAAGATGACCAAGCTATGAGAAGCAAACCAATAAGCAGCATCTCTCCATGTCCTATGCATCAGCTCCTGCCTCCAGGTTCCTGCCCTGTGTGAGTTCATGCCCTTACTGTCTTTAATGATGAACTAGGAACTGGGGACAAAATAAACCCTTTCCTCCCCAAGTTGTCTTTGATCATGGTGTTTTATCACAACCATAGAAACCCTAACTAGAAGACTAGTAATTTGTTTATAGTAACATGTACACAGCTAATAAGGCTTAATGTGTTTCTTGTTCCTGAAATATTTGTGTTTTTAAAAAATTAGAGAACATCACACCAGATAAATAGCTGGAAAATAGTTGGTATTTGTTTTGTCTTGTGGTCTGTGTGTGTGTTGGGGTGTATTTTTTGTTTGTTTGTTT